AAAGATCTTTGAATTTTCTTTAAGAAACAATAAATCATGAACTGTATCAGGATCTAATTGATTTCTCTTATTAGTAATTGTATTACCAGCAGTTGAAAAAACCCTTTTTGAAGGAACCGATGTAGCTGGGAAGGCCAAGTATTTTCTTGCTTGTTGAGAAAGAAGAGGAAATATTGCTTTACGTTCATTCCACCAAATTAACAGATTAACTTTACGATATTCTTCGTCCGTTATATGATATTTAGGAATTTAAGGTAAACTATCATAAAGCGTTACTTCTTTTTCAATTAATGATATGTTTTTAAGTTCATTTTGAATAACATAATCATCATCATAAAAAGAAGAAAAAAAAGAAGAGGAATTAGTGTTTAAAGGTTGGAGTTCTTGAATAAAAGTAGATCGTCCCTGTGTATCAAATGAAGAATAAAGGTGAGCAATGGTTTCTCTTTTTTTGCTAGCCGTTACATAATTCATTTGTTTGAATCTCAGATCCAAAAAGGCGGCTATTAGACTATGAAACGATGGTTCAGACCACCTTGACAGCATCGATTGATTGATTTTATTGCAACAGGCTTTTACTGTTTGTGAAGTAATGGCAGGATAAAATTCTCTTAAATGACGTGAGAGCTTAATGAGAGTAGGAATCATCATTCCTAAAGTGGGATATTGGCTTCCTCCAATATATTCAGTTGCCTGCGTGAAAGGATGTAAAAGTTTTGCTAATTCATCTATTGAATTCCATTCTTCTGTTGATAGGAGAAGGTCTGAAAGTTTTGTTCCATCTTGTCATTCTTGTCTATTAACATTTTGTTTTAAGTTATTAGCCAATCTTACAATGGCATCATGAAGAAGAAAAAGATTTTTTAAAAGATTATAAGTTGAACTCCAATGAGTTCTTGTATCACTTGAAAGAGGATTAACTTGGTGCTGCGGATTTAATTCAGCTTGTAATTCACGAAGGCTTTCACGGTATTTATCTTTACCACCAATATAACTGTTTAATGTTTTTGCTTTACTTATTAAGTTACTAACTTCCGTAATATCAAATCCATCTTCCAATGCAAGTTGTATTGTATGCGCGGTGCAACCTAGATGAGAATTAAATTTTGTCAAAGGTTGAACTCCATTTTACTGGAATTTATATAAATAGGATCAAGAATTATCACTGTTTTTGAATTAGTGCGATTATTGAATTTTGTAAATCTTACAAATCCCGTATATCGCTATTGCTAAAGCAATGGTAATATGTGAGATTCGTGAGATTCACAAAATTCAATGATCGCACTAATTCAAAAATAGTGATAATTCTTGTAAGGTGATTTTACCTACCTATATGCTCAATGCCAAGTTGATCCATGGCTTTAATCATTAAAGAGGTATTATCTGTTGAAGCACTTAAAAGTTTCTCATATATTCCCCATTTGTCAAAAAGTTGCCGACAAAAATCTTCAATTCGATCCCCAGTGTGAGGGTAATCAAATTTTTGAATTGTAAGTAATGCTTGGTATAAATTAAATTCAGGACTGATCTAATGAATGGTTACAGCAATATAAGGTTGGTGCATTTGAGACCAGAGGTCTGTTGTAAAACAAAAAGAACTCATTGTT